CGTTACCACCGAGGTGGATCACTAACACATCAGGAGGTCGCAAGCTCCTGGAATCAAACAACAAGGGGGGCCAAACCATCCCAACACAGGCCTCTTTCGCAACGCAGGCCTCTTATGCCTCTCCATTCGACAGTTGCGATGGACGCGAGACCCAAATGCTGGCCATAGGCAGTCTTGTGGCCTTCTCTTCCCGCCCAGAAGACAAAACTGTGTCCGCACACCAGGACCCTCTATCTATGTGCCAGCCCAACGTGACCAATGATAACAATAACTATAATGAAACTGGACGTACGTAACTCTTAAACGCGATGGACCTCCATCTGCCTAAGGCCTTAATTTTTCCTCTTCATATCCCATTGCTGATGCTGATGAGGCCGCGCCAATCCTAAATGAGTGTGTGTCGAATTTAAGGTTTCCCATCCCCAGAAGGTCCAGTGCTTTGGTTGTAACTGTCCAAAACTGATTAATTGGTCAGCGGTGTTCCGTCCTGATGACGGAACAGGTAACTTCCCTCCGTGCCCCTGAGTGCCGTAAATTGTGCCATAGCTGAAACTGGGCACAAATCTTCTTCCCCGCATCTTAGCAGGCTGATCACCTGACCCTTTAGCCCCCTGATCTGTTTTTGAGGTTCTGATTTTGATTTCAATTTTATCTTGGAAAACCTTAACATCAGAAACGAGCAGAGCGCGGTGTGAGGTATCAGACTTGGATAAAGACACCCATTCACTCACACGAAGGGCTGCAAAAAATGCCATCAACACTGCTGCATGAAACAAAGCCTGCTCGTATAGTGATGCGCACAAACGGGGCCATATTTGCCTAAGTCACTTAAGAATTGTAGGTGTCAAAGGCTGGCGGTCATGCTTGGGATGCCCGCACTGTCTAGACCATCCGGCTATAATTTTGTGGATGCGAAAGTCGTCAGTGGGATTGCTAAGGCCCTGGGCCTTAAACCAATATGCGAGCGCTGACAACTTTGATTTGATGGATTGTGGGGCCAAACCTCTCCTTTTGTGGTAAACACAAAACTGAGCCAAGTGCTCATAAGGCACCGGCATGGACTCGGGTAATTTATAATGCTGCCTAAAGTGTCCCTCAAAGCAAACTCCGAACCCTATGGCGCCTGAAGTGTCCGATGAGACTTGTAAAGCATTCTTAACCATCATCTCCTGTTGCCAAAACGAAACTCCATTAAATTGGCGAAGGAATTGTAGCCAAATGAACAAATCAGACTTTATAGCTAGCG